AAAAAAAAAAAAAAAAAAAAAAAAAAAAAAAAAAAAAAAAAAAAAAAACCACTATGACCAAGTAGGCTATATCCCCAAGATGCGGGGATGATGATGATTCAACATACGAAAATATGTCAATGTAATCCACCGTATAAACAAACTCAAAGTAAAAAAAAAAACACATGATCATCTCCTTAGATGCTGAAAAAGCCTTCAACAAAATCCAACACCCCTTCATGATAAAGGTCTTGGAGAGATCAGGGATGCAAGGAACGTACCTAAACATAATAAGAACAATATACAACAAGCCAGTTGCCGATATCAAATTAAGTAGAGAGAAACTGAAGGCAATTCCACTAAAATCAAGAAGACAAGGTTGTCTACTCTCTCCTATTCAATATAGTACTTGAAGTTCTAGCTAGAGCAGTAAGACAACTCAAGGAAATCAAGGGGATACAAATCAGAAAGGAAGAAGTCAGAGTATCATTAACTGCAAATGATATGATGGTATACATAAGCGACCCCAAAAACTCCACCAGGGAGCCCCCACAGCTGATAAATACCTTTAGTCAAGTGACTAGATACAAGATTAACTCAAAAAGAAAAAAATCTGTAGCCCTCCTAAATACAACTGATAAACAGGCTGAGAAAGAAATCAGAAAATCGACACCCTTTATAGTAATCTCATAATATAAAATATCTTAGTGTCCCTTGAACCAAGCGAGTGAAAGACCTGTATGACAAGAACTTCAAGTTCAAATATACCCTCTTCCCAACACTGCACGGAACCTTCTCTAAAATTGACTGTATACTCGGCCACAAAGCAAGTCTCAACAGATACAAAAAAAAAAAAAATTGAAATAACACCCTGTATCTTATCAAACCACCATGGACCAAAACTGGATTTCAACAACATAAGCAACAGAAGGCCTACACATTCATGGAAACTGAACAACTCTCTGCTGAGTTATCACTGGGCCAAGTTAAAAATAAAGAATTTAGAGAGTCCGGTTTTATCCCATGGTTTTTCAGTCGTAGTCCAGCTGGCCTTGGTGAGCTCACAATAGATCAGCCCCACTGTCTCCGTGGGTGGGTGCACCCCTCGTGGTCCTGACTTCTTTGCTCATATTTTCCCTCCTTCTGCTCCTCCTTGGGACATTGGGAGCTCAGTCCAGTGCTCCAGTGTGGGTCTCTGTCTCTAT